ACCACCTTATTACCGCTTTACTCCAATTTCCTTTGCTTCATATACCGTGGTTAGATGAATTCCTTTAGAGTCCCAAATAAAAAAAAAAAGACAAAAAGCAATAGCTTCTGATTTTTAGCCAGGGGAAAGCCTGGGTTGTCCATCTCCAGGTAAACCCAGTGCATCCTTTTGTTTTACTGAGCCAGTCTTTTCCTCTTTTGGCAACACTAGCAAGACTTCTCAAATGTCTTCCTTAGATTATCTTACAAAATATGCATTATCCAATTTAGTTTGGAACTTGAACCCAAAGATCAAGGCCAGCCATCTGTGATTTTTGAAACCTCTGGCTGTTGCTCAGTTTTCTGGGGCAGCCTTTCCCAGGCACATGCTGCGTCCAGCCGGCGTCAGCCAACCTCCAAGCTCCTCTTTCCTGCTCCCCTTAGGGTAAGTGGGGGTGTTGGAGAGGAGAGGGGGGCATCTGGGTTTTTTCTCCTCAGTTACCCAGGATTGGGCACATTCTGTTTCTTCTTCCTTTGGAGATCATCCATTCTGAATTTTGAGTCTTCAAATAGGCTTAGAGGGCTGTTTATCCCTCAGATAACGTGTCTGTGATTGGCTGTCTGGAAACACATGGTGCTTCTGTCTGCCTCTCACAGGGTGAATCCAGTTCTTCAAACGGGAAGCTTTCCTGTAAGGTAGGTGGGGAGGGGGTAGTTAAGGCAGGCTGGGAGGAAATTAATTTGGGATAGGTAAGGCTTGTTGCTGCTCTTGCAAATTATAGTGGCTAATGAGGGCCTGGGTCTTCTTATGATAAAATTTGACATAAGAGATTTTTTTTGAGGTGTACAATAGAAATACTTCCAGCTGTAGATACATAATTGCATTGACGTGTAAATCACAGACAGAAAGAACAGATACAAAAAGCAAACTCTTCTTCCATGGGATTTGATAAGTGTGAGTTTTCTTAACAGTGTTCATCTGAATGTGGAGATTTTTTTTAAAAAAGAGATGAAAAGCCCAAATGTTTGAACGATTAAGTAGGGAATAAGAATGCTTATTTTCCACCCAAAATACTGCATCTGTAATAAACCATGATGAGGAAGTAATGCCCCTGTAACCTTTTTCCTTTGGTAATTTATCTTTCTAATTCCAGTAGATGAAAGATGACTTTGTGCCTGGGGAGAGTGAGCAGGTCAGATTAATTTGTGCCATCACAGCGCAGCTTTATTATCCATCCTTCGAGAGTTTTGCAATCAAGATGCTTTTAGCAGAAACACAGTGGAAAGGCCACTTCTCTCAGGGCTTGTAGGAGCTAAGCACTGCCCTTTGAGTGTCTCCGTGCTGCCTGGGCAGCCAAGAGGGCTGTTTTCTTCACTTCACACTCACCTCCTCCTGCCCCTGACTGTGCAGGGCAGACAGGTGTGGCCAGCGTGCTCCGCAGCCAGCAGGATCCCTCACCCAGGGTACCTCCCCCTATAAAGGGATGCTTGCTTTAAGACATCTCCACTTGTCACCTTTCTGTGGATGGTTCCTGTTTGGATATCTGACTCTGTCTGCTCAATATCAGGCATGCATTTTCTTTTTTAAAAAGTGTATTTTTACAGTGACATGGTATCATGAGTACCTTTAAAATGTGTATTTTTACATTCACATTTTATTATGATTACCTTAAAAGAAAACTCTTTAAAAAGAATTATCCATGATTCTGTTTCCCTAATATAGCATATCTTCATCCTCTGGGTTTTATATTTGTGTATATGTGTATGTCTGTGTAGGTATATTTGTGTGTGTGTGTGTGTGTGTCTATTTTGTCATGTACCCATTTTCCTGTCACCCATGTAAAAAATCTTGGCATCAGCTCTATACCCTTTCTGCTCTGGAAATCCTGCCAGTGGATATGACATGAGGAAAGGAGAGGGGGCCATGGTGTCCAGCAACTCTTAGCATGAATCCTGGTTCCATCACACGGTGACTCACCTTGGGAAAGACCATCCTCTGTTTGCTGGTTCATTCATCTCTCCATCTGTCTGTCCTCTCTGCCTCCCTTCCTGTCTCCTGTTCATAAGCATTCACTGTACTGTTGTACAGCATGCTAGATGCGGGGGATCTGGGCAGCATTTTCCCATCCATAAAATATAGATATTGCAGCATATTAAGGAGTATTGTTATGAGGATTCAACTTGCTAATGCATGTGAAGAGACCTAGCACAACAACAGCAACAGCCTGGCGCGTGATAGGATGCCAGTTAATGGTGCTGTGTGGTCAGTCAGCAAGTCTCATCGTTCTTGTGTAATTTCCCTGGCCTCTGTTACTTCCATTTCTTAGCAGCCTGCATGATGATGGGCAATTACTTTCTTTTTTTTTTTTTTTTTTTTTTTTGAGACGGAGTCTCGCTCTGTCGCCCAGGCTGGAGTACAGTGGCGCGATCTCGGCTCACTGCAAGCTCCGCCTCCCGGGTTTACGCCATTCTCCTGCCTCAGCCTCCCGAGTAGCTGGGACTACAGGCACCCGCCACCACGCCCGGCTAGTTTTTTGTATTTTTTAGTAGAGACGGGGTTTCACCATGTTAGCCAGGATGGTCTCGATCTCCTGACCTCGTGATCCGCCCGTCTCGGCCTCCCAAAGTGCTGGGATTACAGGCTTGAGCCACCGCGCCCGGCGGCAATTACTTTCATACCTAGACCGTGCAAGAGGCTTTTAACGGGGCATTATAGGCCTCAATCTATTCTATTAAATTCTTCCTATTACCACCGTTTGCACTTCTAAAGCATTGTTTTTGTCTGTGTTACTCTTGGTGCAGAACCTTTCAGTGACTTCCGAGGCTTTTCTGAATTTCTTACTGGCCACTCGCGGCCCTCCCAGTACTCTGGGCTCCTCTTGAGATTTCAGCTCTGAGCCATCTTGCCACCCTCTTCCACCTACGGAAATGACTCACCCATTTGGTCTTCTGTGTCTACTGCCATATGTGCAGGGAACTGCATTGTCACTGGTGAGAGGAGAAAACAGCATATGAGCCACACATTTGGGAAGCTCTAACCTTCCTTGTGCAGTGTCTTAGTTCATTTTTGCTGCTATAACAGAATACCTGAGACTAGGTGATTTGTAAAGAACAGAAATTTGTGTTCTCACAGTTCTAGAGGCTGGGAAGTCCGAGATCAAGGTGCCAGCATTGAGCAAGGGCCTCTTTACTGCAGGCTCCCAGGGGGAGGAAGACTTTATCTTCACGTGGCAGAAGGCAGAAGGGCATAGAGACAAAAGGGGGCTCTACTCACCCTTTTGTAATGACGTTGATACTACCACTGAGGGCAAAGCCCTTATGACCGAGTTACCCTCCAAGGGTCCCCTCTCCCAAAACTGCCACTGTGGCAACCAAATTTCAACATGGGTTTCAGAGCTGACTTGCAATCAAACCATAGCATGCAGTAAAGACTTATGACTAACCTAGTATTTCTGAGGGTATACTGTTTTTTAACATGTTGTTATTATTCAACAAATGATAAGAGTAGTAGATGATACCTTTTTGGAGCTAGACTTCAAGCCTTCAAGGAGAGACTAACTAGGTCATGTATTTTTTGCATCCTCTATATTATTACCATCAATACAAACCTTTTAGGGGGCCATGTGCAGTGGCTCACACATATAATCCCAGCACTTTGGGATGCCAAGGTGAGCAGATTGCTTGAGCTTAGGAGTTCAAAACCAGCCTGGGCAACATGGTGAAACCCTGTCTCTACAAAAATGTAAAAATGAGCAGGGTGTGGTGGCACTCACCTGTATTCCCAGCTACTTGTGGGTCTGAGGCAGGAGGATTACTTGAACCCAGGAGACTGAGGCTGCAGTAAGCCAAGATCATCCCACTGCATTCCAGCCTGGGTGACAAAGTGAGACCCTGTCTGGAGAAAAAAAAAACAAACCTCTTAGGGGATTACATTCTATAACAATTATTTTGTTGATTAATCCTCAGGACTATTTATCAAAACCATGTTAAGCTCTGAAAATATTTACTGGGTAGTAGATTTTGCTGAATTTGCAGGAACTCTCCCAACTGGTGACAGCATCTGTAGCAAAAAGACAGATACAGGAAGGTGTTTAAGGTGTTTCCTAAGATTGTTTTGTTTTGTTTCATTTCAAAGGTCTGTTTTCTGTAGATTGCATTTGTGTCTGAATGAGTTTATTAAGTTCAGAATTCTGCTGAGGAAGTCCTGCAACCCACATTTAGGGATACTCACATTATTTATAATCAGTTATTCTCTTTATATTTTATTTCACCCACAGAATATAATGTTTATATACGTTTGTGTGTGTGTTAGTGTGTTGCTATAGGATGGTGCAAAGTATTTTATTTTATTTTATTTTTTTGAGACGGAGTTTCACTCTTGTTGCCCAGTCTGGAGTGCAGTAGCATGGATCTTGGCTCACTGCAGCCTGCACCTCCCAGGTTCAAGCAATTATCCTGCCTCAACCTCTCGAGTAGCTGGGATTACAGGCGCCCATCACCATGTCCAGCTCATTTTTTTTGTTTTTGTATTTTTTGCGGAGATGGGGTTTTACTGTGTTGGCCAGGCTGCTCTGGAACTCCTGACCTCAAGTGATCCACCTGCCTTGGCCTCCCAAAGTGCTGGAATTACAGGCGTGAACCACCGCACCTGGCTAGGATGGCGCAAACTATTTTAAATTTTGATTACCGGTTTCTACTTTGGGAAACTGTCTTACAATCTCTGATTCTCCTCTCCTTCAACTTCAGAGAGTAAGAGGCACTGTTTGTGGCCCTGTCAGTGCTGGCATTTTAGGACTCTGTTACCCTGTCAGTGCTGGCATTTTAGGACTCTGTTATCTATGAGTCTAATCAATACCAAATGTTGCTGATTCTAGAATGAAATGCCTTCTGATTGCTGTTTATAAGATTCCGTCTGTAGTGAAATTAAATTGACTTCTAACAGCAAGTATCTCTGTTTGGAAAATAAAGCTCGTATGTTAAATCATGTCTATTCTAATTTTAGTTTTCTTTTCTCTCCACCAGTTTGCTGTTTTGTGGTCCACAAGAGGTGCCATGAATTTGTTACTTTTTCTTGTCCGGGTGCGGATAAGGGACCCGACACTGATGTAAGTAGTCTGGAAATCATGAGTTGATGTCAATGTGGATTTCTGAACTTTAATTTTTTTTTAACGCCTGTACAACTGTTTGTTTTGGCACTTACTATTAATGGGAAGACTCAATTCCCATAGAACGTTGGCTTGTACTAATGAGCAGATTTATAGCTCATTCGAGCTCTGGACTACGTCTTAGAGAAATTCTTGGAGGAGAATTTCTTGTTAGCATGTACTGTTCCACTCTGAGCAGCTGCATTGACTAAATCCACCAAATTTATCGTAATAGCTTTCATAAACACAATGCAGTTGTTGACAGATTTTATAATGAACATTTATCACCCTTCAGTTTCTTTCCTTTCCTTTTCCTTTTCCTTTTCCCTGTCCCTGTCCCTGTCCCTGTCCCTGTCCCTCTCCCTGTCCTTTCCTTGGAGTCTCACTCTGTTGCCCAGGCTGGAGTGCAGTGACACAATCTCAGCTCACTGCAACCTCTGCCTTCCAAGTTCAAGTGATTTTCCTGCCTCAGCCTCCTGAGTAGCTGGGACTATAAGGCGTGCACCACCACGCACAGCTAATTTTTGTATTTTTAGTAGACATGGGGTTTCATCATGTTGGCAGGCTGTTCTTGAACTGCTGACCTCAAGTGATCTGCCCATCCTGGCCTCCCAAAGTGCTGGGATTACAGGTGTGAGCCACTGGGCCTGGCCACCCTTCAGTTTACTTCTAAGCTGAAATAAACCAATAGGAGCATCATTGCTTTGGGCCAATGTAACAAACTACTCTTGGTTTACTCCCGGGGATTCTTGCTGCCTTTTAAGTGTATATTATCAATGCTGCGGCTGATTGAAATAATTTAGCGTCTGTTTCACCGAACAGTGATCTCTGAAGTTGCCCATGTGTGAACACATAATTTCCTCTCTTTGTGGACAATTCTGATGGTCTCTCTTGCATCTCTTGTGTACTTAAAAATGGATCCACAGACCAGGCACGGTGGCTCACGCCTGTAATCCTAGCACTTTGGAAGGCTGAGGTGGGCGGATCACCTGAGGTTAGGAGTTCCAGACCAGCCTGACCAACATGGAGAAACCCCGTCTCTACTAAAAATACAAAATTCGCCGGCCATGGTGGCGCATCCTGTAATCCCAGCTCCTCAGGAGGCCGAGGCAGGAGAATTGCTTGAACCCGCGAGGCAGAGGTTGCGGTGAGCCAAGATAATTGTGCCATTGCTCTCTAACCTGGGCAACAAGAGCAAAACTAGGTCTCAAAAAAAAAAAAGAAAAAAAAGAAAAAGAAAAAAAGGATCCACAAAGGAGTCATGGAAAATACCAATGCCCAAAATATGTTGGATGGAGAGAAACTTCAGCCGTTATATGAAAAGTAATATTTTAACTGAATTAAAAAAATTGTCAGGCAGGCTTAGAAGACTGGACATTTCTGTTCTGAATTGCTTTTGCTTGATCAGTTCAGTCACTCAAGTTGTGTGCTTGAAGCGATTCCCATCTTTAATGCCTGTTCCCATCAGGAAACTTTGATTTGAAAGCGGCTTTCTCAGTGCAGGCAAGACTCAATTCTTCCCTCTGCGAAAGATGACATTTTTGCAGCATGCTCTGAGGGATTCCAATTTACGTTATTGTAACACAAATAAGAGGAAAGTTGCTGTTTGGTGTTCAGTGCACAGGAACATGCACGATGGGGTTAGGGTGCTCGTGGAGGCAAGATAGAGTGCCTGTTGTGGGTTCTGAGCCACCACGGGTTCCACAAAGGCTCCCAGGACATGGGAGCCAGAGGAATCTCAGGGGTCATCTTGTTTTATAACTTCATGGACAAGGAAGTCCAAGTCCATGAATGTTGAGTGACTTGGCTGCATACAAACAAAACTAGTTAGTGTCATGCCCCCGCCCTGCCCCCTGGCCCCCGCCACTTTCCATCCTTCTCTTCTGGAACATTGTGCCACTTTCCATCCTTCTCTTCTGGAACATTGTGACACTTTCCATCCTTCTCTTCTGGAACATTGTGGAATATTGTCTTCCTTTAGGGCATTTTAGAGGTAGAAATAGCTGGAACATAAAGTACTAACTTTTCCAAAATGCCAAGTCCCATTGACCTTGTTTGGAGTTGTCTAAAACCTCATGTCACAGCCTTCACTTCCTTGCTCATCATTCCCATCTTCATCTTGCTGTTTTTTTTTTTCTTTCCTCTCTTCTCTCTCCTCCCATTTCTGCCCCATCAAGAATGGGGAGGGAGGACAGGCAATCAAGAACGGGGAGGGAGGACGGGCAGTCAAGAATGGGGAGGGAGGACGGGCAGTCAAGAATGGGGAGGGAGGATGGGCAGGCTTCAGGATGCGAGTAGTTTGTCCCTCTTCTCTTCCCTTCCCCCCCCCTCCTACTTTTTCATTCTTTCGCTTAAATATTCTTTATTGAGAACCCATAATGGGCCAAAGTCTGTGCTGGGTCCTGGGGTATAACACTAAGCACGGAGATGTGCTCCTTGCCCTCCTGGATGTTCTGCAGGGGGAAGGCAGACATTAAAATATCACTCATTAAAATAGGATACAGGTACACTGAGCAGGTTTCTCTAAGGGACCTATTGCATTTAAACTGAGCTTGATGCATGGGTAGGAGATAGGCAGACGAAAGGAAGGGTGTGTGTGTGTGCACACGTGCATGCTGAGCTGTATGGGGCCCTGGAAAAGGATGTTTGAGACAAAGGGAAGAGCAAGTGAGAACGCCAAGATGTGGGAAGGAGTTTAATCAATAACAGAAAGCTGGGAGTTGGGTGTCTGGCAAGGATTTTGGGCACACTCTTAGGAGCACTGGGGGCTCAGGAAAGGTTTTAACCTAAAAATGATGTGGTCCGATTTGCATCTTAAAAAGGTTACTCTGGTTGCCTTCTAAGAAATGGATTGGGCAGGAAGTGTGCTTGGTGTACTGGTGGAGATGGGGAAATAGCAAAGGCTGGAGAATACGGTGTAGAGGTACCTCTCCTCTGGGCAATGTCATAGGGGCTTGGTGTAGACGGACGCACTGGGGATAGACAGAGTTAACTCATTCAAGATATGTTTAGGAGCCAGATCTGCAGTTCTTGGTCATTGTTGGATCGGGGAGATGGAGATGTTGAAAATGACTCCCTGGTTTCTGGCATGAACATGTGAATGGATGGAGGTACATGAAAGCCATGGGGACTCTGGAGGGAGAGCATGTATTTGGGAGCGTGAGATGGGGGCAGAACAGGGGTTTCACTTTGGTCATAGTCTGTTCCTGTTGCCAACACAAAATACTGTAGACTGGGTAATTTGTAATTAATAGGAAATGTTTTTTCACAGTTCTGGAGGCTGGGAAGTCCAACATCAAGGTGCCAGCAGATTCTGACTGCCAGTGTCAGACATCTCACACTGAACATGTCTCCTAATGGTCCGTATCCCCGAAAATTCGTATGCTGAAACTTAACTGCAGTGTGATTGTATGAAGAGGTGGGTCCTTTAGGAGGTAATTCAGCCATGAGGTGGGGCCTTCCTGAATGAGACCAGCTCCCTTGTAAGAGAGGTACAAGGGAGCTGTTACTGCCATTTCCCCTTTTAACCCTTCTGTTATGTGAGTACACAGCAAAAAGGTACCATCCAGGAAGCAGAGCCCAGCTCGCGCCAGATACAGAATCTGCTGGCACCATGATCTTGGAAGAGAAAGGAGAAAATCTGATTTTTGGTCTTTGGAGCGAGAGACCTATGACTAGGGCTTTCTGCAGCCAAGGCCTGAGAAGTGTTGCCTGGCTGTGTGCAGGATGATTTTACTTACTCTGCAAATCTGCAAGCAAATCTTAAGAAGGTACAAGATGATCAAACTGTCCTGCACCAGGGAGATAGTTGGAAAATCATGAAGGCATTGGAAGGTAGAACTGAGCTGAGATGCTAGAATGTTCTTATTTTATCCTTTTCTGAATACCATTTTTCTGCAAATCCCAGGAGGATTGAGCCAGAAGGGGTGTTAAGGATTTATCTGGGTTGACCTTATTTTATCGATGAGGAGACAGCTAAGGCAAAAATGATCTGAGGTACTGTCATATGTTATCTCTTGAGTATCCAGTGGGCTTGTGGTGGATTCTTTCAAGGCAATTGGTCATGAAGAGAAACGAGGCGTTGGTAGCTTGACTGGGTTGTGCAGCCAGTGGAGCACATTGACAGCTATTCCTTGGGGCATTTGTTGAAAATTCTGGTCAGGTGTTTAGAAAACTAGCAGGCTTATTTTACCATCTTGAGAATTATCTTATTCTCCAGTCCTTTTCAGTGTGTTAGAAATCGATCCAATAAAAAATGCCTGCTAGCAGGCTCAAGGAGAAAGACCAGTGAAAATAATGGGAGGTTTCAGAATTTAAGAGGAAAAAAAAAAAAACTGCCCGAAGCATTTTTCCCCTGAAAAATTTAAAAATTTTAAATTGGGATTTTTTTTTTTTTTTTCATACCATGGAGAATTGTTAAGATGTCCTGTTCATATACTGCTTAATAGTACCTTAACTGAGCTTGGCAGACTCTTAACACATTCACAGATGGGGAAAAAGAAGGTACAATCCTTGTGAAATCCTCAAATGTTGTACCTGCTCTGCCATCTTCAAGATGAAAGGATGGGAAAAAGTACTGAGACATAAAACAGCAGTACCCAGATTACAGTAGCCAGATGGGAAGACATTACAAAGTTCTTTTGAACAGAGATTCTCTTCAAGACTCAAGGAGCAGTTGTAGTTGAGAGTATGCATTAGTGCAGGGAATCCTGGCAGAGGAAAGGCCCCTGAGTTCAGCAGAAGGCCCCTCCCTGGAGATCCTCAGGCCAATTTCTCAAGGGTCCTCTGCCCCTTCTGGATGAGATGGCATTCTGTACCAGCAAGTCTAGAGCAAAAAGCCAAGCAATTCCTAGACTTTAAGTCTGTCCCTATACACACTGAGTAGAGAAGAAATGAAAGCAGAAGACTTAAAGGAACCTAACGTTATTGGTGAGCTCATTCCCTGGCACTGCCTGAGTTTG